CGGCAGGGTGTCTCCCAGTGAGTCATTTTAATAGAGCAGATACAGCGGTGGAGGAGGGTGTAGGTATTGTTTGTCACCAGATGAACTCGTGGGGTGAGACTAATGAAGAGTGCAGAGAGAAGGAGGGTGGCATTTTAATTGGGCTCTCTCTTTCTTCCTGTCGTGCTCTTGTCGCCAGCAAAACGCCAAGATTGAACATTGAGAGAGAAGTAAATGTTTCACCTCGAACGACTTGTCAAACAACATATCCCACCAGCGACGCCCTGGTGAAGCAAACAAAAAGTATTACCAACTTTCAACAGCTGCAATAATGGCCTGATGGTTTGGTTTTAAAAGTGCAAATGGAATTTTTGAAATATAATAGAAGAAGCAGTCTCCTTTACTGATGCTAGACTTGACCTGCTGTTCTTCATTATGACTCACAACAGTCAGGCCTATTGAGTATAATCATTTATAGCAATCAAAGAGAGCGTGCACCTAATCAAGGGAGCGAGAGGGGCAATATGAAAGTGCTGTCACTGGGATATAATGTAATGTGTTGACATGAAACTTTTCATTGCATGGATTGTCATTTCTTATCTGATCTTATCTGTAGATGTGCTGGTAAAACATTGACGGTTCACTGGTAAAATGCGACCACGGACTTGTTTATCCAAAAATGGTGAATGTGACACAGATGGTTACTGAGCTAGAGGGGTTTACTTTTCTAATGTAAATTTTTAACATATATTTGTGCGTGTGTTGGTTGTGTAGAATGAGTGAGATGCGTTAGAGCTGATTAAATGGTTAAATAAATAGTTGATTGTGTGCCTTGTTTCATTGTTTTAAACTCTCACTAAATATTTATGTTTTATGGTTAAAATACAATCATATACGTACATACAATCAGGTATTTATTGTATGTACGCAAACAAACTGATGTTAGGTCAAATGAAGGCAACATGAACCACGACCATCTATCCGTACATTTGTAACAGTAGGTGGCCTTCCTATTATTGTGATAACTATCTATAATGCACAGAGCATCTGTGTGTCTCTCTCACATGGACCTAAGCTTACCTACAGGTGCAAATAATGTCACCTTGAACCTTACAGATACGGATCACACAATGGTGTACTGTACAGAGTTCTTCAGAGAATCAATGCCACTTAAGCTACCACTTTAGTAGTAAATATTTCTGCCAGGGACTGCACTAGTATATACAACCCTAAAAGAATGAATCACAATCCAAACCTCAACACACTGGGTTTAAAATATACATTGAATTATATTCATCTTCACAAATTTTACACAACACCTTAAATGGCATAACCTCACCTACTGTTTAATCAATTAGTCAAAATTGCAAAGCCATGTTACTACAGTCCATTCACTCCCACTAAAATGGTAGTCTCCATTACCAGACCTCACTGCACTGACACCTGTGACCAACGAAATAGCATTTTGTCTTTTTCTTCCCCTTTATTAGTAAATTTCGGGGTCGGGGGTCTGGCAATCAGAGCTGCCACCCAAGTCTTAAATCACCAGTCCCTCGCTGATCCTCCTGCCCGAGTGTCATTGCAGTGTGGGTCAAACGCAGAGGACGCATTTCCCAACAGGGGCCAATCAAGTTTACCTTAAATTAACGTCCCTAAAGATGCTCTGGAAGACTTTGTAATGTTGATGAGGTTATGTGGCCTGATACCAACAAAAGAATCTCTCGAACGGATTTCTTGTGTACATTCTTCACTATTCCAGTATGGCAATCCTATTAGAAAATACACGTTGCAGAACTATCCTACTAGATTTTGCATGATCATTAATTGAATTCAGGGTTTTTATGGGTAATAAAGGGTGAAGGAGAGTCATTTTTAAAGTCTAGATTTTAATAGAGCAAAGTTGCGGGATAAAACAATTAACTCTAATGATTTCCGCAGCTATTACACACTACTACACAATCGTGAGCACAATTTTATTTACAAAGCCGTAAAAGTGTTGCATTAGGGTGTGCACACAAACACAGGCATATATATGTGTGTGTTTTTCTGCGTGTGTGTTTGTGTCTGTCTAAATGTGCAGACACTGGGGGCAGATTAAATGTCATGCCAAAGGACACAACAACACCAATCATCTGTGGAGATTGGAATCACACCAGCCAACTTGTATGTCAGGACCTTGTGATCACAGGGCACAACTGATCTCCATTCGCCCCAACATAAACTGGAGCCTCAATCGTCACATATGATCTAAATTAGTGACCGTAATGTAAACATGTTTTATATGACACAACTTCTGTATGTGTCAGTTGAAATGGTTTGGCGCTGTGATCGCACCGTCGGGGGCAACAGAGATGAAAGTGCGTAACATTTGAAATCTCATACGGGGACTATTTACGTACATCATTTGCATACAGTCTAGGCTCAACTTCTAATCTGACAACGACACCCGGAACATCTCAAGAAGTTACAAATATGGCAGCTAATCACAAGTTTTCCTTCTGCGTACAGCAGCCAACATCTCCCTCCAGCATTTCGTTGCTCTTCAAAACATAAACTTTGCTTCTGGCAGATTCCCTGAGCGTCCTCCTCTCCACCATCCACTGCCCTGAAGCGGATGTGAACATGCAAGTTACAAATGGCATTAGCCTGTCTCTGTCTTTCTGGCCTTTTGCTTTATCCCATTCTCCATCTCCGCTGTCTCTCCGTTAGGCCACCACTTCATCCTCATGTATATTTATGCTACAAAGCAGAAGACTCAGACGGACTTAAAATGAAAAGTCCAAATAGAGAAAGCCGGTGGAAGTGTACGTGTGTGCTCTTGCCGTGTGTGACAGTGCGTGAATCTGCACTCTTTTATCCTTTTTGGATTCAAGCACCCTTTTTATATTCCAGGGGGGTGGGCTTCCTCTTTACTCCGCCACCCACTGCATTTCTGTTTCCTTAGCCTCTTTTGCTGTTCTTCTCATCTTTTCAGCGGTCTGAGGCACGGACAGGTGGCTGCCTTTTTCCCTCAGCGCGTGATAGGATAGCTGTCAGCGCGCGCACTGAAAAGTGACATTCTAATTTAAAGGAGTGATTGAGAAAAACACCTACATGCATACAGTAGGCCTACTCCGAGATGAAGCGGGCAGATACCTTTTGGTGGCGTTCCACACATCAACGTCACACTCTTCCAAAGACAGGGAGCTATTTCTGTCCGCAAAGCTGATCGGCTAGACTAAAGAAACACGTCAATTATTTATTTGCGTTGTGGCAATACGAGGTGACTGATCTGTTACATAGTGATGTTTACAGGTTATTTTGATGCAAAAAACAACACAAAACTGATAATATTAATGCATTGGTTAATTGAGCCCTTTTTTGGACACTCAAAGAGCTTTACATGTCCGTATTTTTTCACTCCAATAGATGTGGTGGTCAACAACAGCTGCCCTCGGGTACACTGACAGAACCGACCACTACAGACACATACTAGGAAATGTGGGTGAAGTGTCTTGCCTAAAGACACAACAGTCTGGCACTTTACAGCCACAGCTGCCTCACTGTGGCACCTGGTGTTCCCAGAAGTCTCCATCACAGTACTAAGTAGGCTCTGCCCTGTCTAAATTCTGTGGAATACCCGAATCAGGCATTCACGTTCAGATGGAAAGACAAGTAATCACAACTAATTGATTATTTAGTTATTGACTAATTGTTTTTTGAACATAGTAAAATGTAAAATTTTATCAAAATCTAATTCAATTGAAAGAAAATGTGTTATAGAGTATTTGTAATCAAAACAACTCAATGTGTAACCAGGAGCATCACTTGAGCATTAAAAAGAAAAAAAAGAAAAACATTGTTCACTGTCCTTACATCAAGATAGAATAAAACATGAACACTTTTAACTTGATTTCATGTAATTAAGAGTAATTAATTTAGAAAGAAAAAGAGACTATGGCTCTGAATGTTTCAGACTTCCTCACACAAGCAAGCACGGCTCACAATGTAGTGCACCCATAACTACTAATAGATAAAATATCATCATAATTGAAAAGCACAACTGATCACTACTGCTAAGCCTGTCACAGTAATTACAACTTCAACTTATCACTTTGTATTCATCAAAAGGGCAGAGATTTAATTGTATTTTCAAAACAACGTGCACTAATTAGTTGTAGATGGTTCAGCAACAAAAATGGCACACTTTTTAATAGAGTACAAACTTCTGAATCAATATATTACCAATCCAAGTTATCATGACAGGCCTAAATACTACCAAGATCTCCTTAACTCCATCCAGAAACTCAGGACATACATCCTTTGATTCAATATAAACAGTGCATGGTTAAGTATGTGTACGGTGAAGGAGGGTTGTGCGCGCCTAGGCAAGTGTGTGTGCTGATACAATAGTTGTGTTGAGAGGAAGGCTGCATGGCTGACTCTCTTTTAGATCCTTAAGAGGAGGAACGTGGGAAAAGAGGAGTAAGTGCCATTCATCTTTTCACTGCTTCATTCACTCCCGCTTTCTCTGCCTCAGCCCTTTGCTTTGTGTCTTTCACTCCACCGCTTTGTTCCCCTAAATGGCCTCTTTACTTCTTCTTAAAATCTCCAGTTGAGATAAATACTCTTGCGCTGCCATCCAACAATATTCCAACAACAGCGTGCGCTCTGACACAACCTCAACGTAAAGCAAAAGCTCATTTTCATGCCCATGAGCTCTCCTGCTGAAAGGAGAGGTGTTGATGGCAGAAGAGCCAGGACACACCAGAGGGACGCCTCGGAATTCCCTCTATGAGCTGAAGAAGTGTGCCAGGATAGTGGAGGATCGTAGCTGACTTGCTACTTTTTAATTGTATTAATATGAGGAATGTTTTAAATAAGAACAAAGTGTTTATATAAGAGTGCTTTCAGTGAATAAATATAATTATTTGGAAATTTAATTTCTGATTGAAAGCATAATTAAAGTCATATGCACCAAACAGGTAATGCAATAGCAAGTGTGAATATAAAGTGGATTTACATATTTTATACAACATTACCTTTACATCCTTGACATTCATGCGTGTTCCCTCTTTTCCCACAAAGATGTCATCAATATCCACCAGCATGTGTCGGTCCAGTCCGAGAGACAGCTTCCTGTCGGTGAGGTAGGAGATGGCATCCACCAGGATGAGTTTGTGCAGCCAGTATCCAAGGCCCTGGCCAAATAACACCCTACGGACACCATCATAAAGGCCCATGTCCTGCACCACTGTGGCCTGTTGTCCAGCACCGAAGCCAGAGCCTGGATTGTCACCACTGCCGGCCCCAGGGGCCCCGTCCCTGGCTCGTGCATGCAGCACAGCCTGGTAAGTAGAGTGATTGGAATAGAAGGAGGTCCAGTCCTCTCCTGATAGGGGCCCTCTGTCCGAGCCTGGCTTAGTGAGGTGAAGCAGAGGAGAACTAGACACAACACAGCAGTCCATTAGAGCCTGGTTGGTCTTCAGTACCAGTGGGAGGCCTCGCAGTTTGAGTAAAGGAGGCGAGTTTTCAGTGGAGCGGTAAAAACCTATAATTCCCACTCTGTACTCTGTGCAGTACTGGTGCAACAACTGTCTGTTCCATGTGTCCGCGTGCACGTACTTTAGAAGATTCTCATAAATAATGAGTGAGTATCGTCCACGGCCCTTTTCTGTCAGTGGAGGAAGGTCACCTTTTCCAGAAGCTATCTCCATGCGGAACTGGAAATGTGCTGACTCTAGAATGGCCACAATATCCTGACCCAGCTGGGAGTACTGGGACTCCACCAGGACCAGCACCACAGGTTCAGTGTGCACGTGGATGTGAGGGGGGTTAGGGGGGTAGGGGTAGGGAAGCTGCCGGTACGAGGATGACAAAGACAGGGGCTGGGAGCAGGCTGGCTCGGCAGACTGCCCCAGCTGCATGGACGGGGTAGAGTTAGTGAACAGGAAGTAGGCAGAAAGGAGCAGGGAGAGCAGACAGCAGGACGCCAGCAGGAGGAGCAGCCTGCGCAGATGACGACGGAATCGGACGGCCACAGTCATGGTCACACCAGCTCTGGTAACGAGGAGATCTCTGCAGTCTGTGGTTTAGGCTCACCCACCTACGATTGTCTGAAGCCACTCAGGGAAGTCTCATGTCACCATGGCAGGTATGAAGAGAAGTGGCAGCGAGTATTCGGGAACAAACATGGACGCAAACTAAAGTGGACACTGCTGCTTCCAGTTCACTCTGAAGAACCACATGCAGAGATGGAGCAGGTGATGATTAATGTCTGCACAGAAAAGGGGACAAGGAGAAAAGAAGAAAGAGTGAATTTGTTGGCCAAGGTTGAATAGTATGCATTAGTTTTGTGTGTACCTAGGCTATGCCACTCTGGGGAATGTGAGGGCACAGCTGGTAACTACAGAGCTGATTGAAAACAACTCACTTCCTTAGGGCTTATCCAACCTCTGGCACACACATACACAAGCACGATTTCATTGCACATATACATTGACTCATAGAGCGGCCCCGTGTTAAAAGCCTAAACATATCGCAAGTCAATCCTCCCAAATAAACAACAGCTGGTTGTCGCTCATGTGGCAGTGCGCTTTAGGTGGATCATCTAATCAGTCTGATAATGCTCTGCTGAGAATCCTACTAATTGCACCAAACTCTGTGCACTTCTGTCCCATTTCTGAACCTAATCATCTGAAATACCACAGCATTAGAGTTGGGATCCCGTAGCCAAGAGGACTCATCATAGAGGGAGTCCATGTCAGTTCTGAAGCACTGGAGAGAAAGACTAAGTGCAGCAAAAAAGGGGCTGAGCGGAGAGACGTACAAAATGCAATGAATTATAAAGAGACAAAAAAGTGAGGATTAGCATGTTAATGTATGAGCCGGGAGCCAGAGCCACAGCATCCTATTCTCACAGCGTCCCCACCGCCTCTGTGCAGCTCTTATCCCTCCTTCTGTCTGTTTGAATATCAATAGTTCTTACTTGTGTCGCTCCTTCACATGAGGAGAAGGTCAACGAGGAGGGTCCCATGGCACCATCTTATTCATTACTATTATTACTGTTATTACCTTTTTCACACCTTGTTAAATCTTGGAACTACACTTTCACTGGTACATTGTTTATTTATTTTAAATTACACACCATTACTTTTTAGCCTGGGGGCTTTCTATGTGAGAAATATTAGTTGGCTACAGTCAAGTCAATTCGCCTTAAGACAACTTATATCAGGCGTTCAACTATAGTTTCATTATTACGTTAATAGATAAGCCAGATAATATATACAGATTTGTCACAATTCTCTGTAGAATTGTGTGCTACAACTATGCAATAAAGAAGTTTAAGTGTATAACTAGACTGAACACTGATTTCCCCCAATCCCCATTTATTCATGCATCGCAGTAAACACGAAAAGGCTTTGGTATTGTCTGGAGTTTTAATGATCCGAGTGATACATCCTCTTCCCCACGTTTGGTATAGTTACATGTGGATGGACCACACGTGCCGCGTCCGTCCAAATACTACTACTACGAGTTTACGGCAGACGGGCAAACTGTGCGTCCCCGCGGCTACATCACTGGATTTGGGACTTAATAAAGTTTATAAATAGCAGAGGCGGTCAGTGCGCTTACCTGTCGCCGTTGCTGATGCGCTGTGCTTTACGAGATGCTGCTGCTGCTGCTGCTGCTTCTGATGATGCTGTTGTTTCGGGTGGGTCCTGGACTCCGCTCTCGGTGGTGCACCACTCCTGTGTGTTGTGGAGGCTGAAGCGTTCTGCCATCTCGCCGCCGTCTCTCTCTCTCTCTCCCTCTCTCTCGCTCTCTCTCTTTCTCTCGCCTGGTTTAGAGCAGCAGGAGCGTCCAGGCGAAATGAGCCGCTCTCCTTCCCCTTTTCATCATTCTTCCCTTCACTCCCCCGCTGTCTCTTCTCCCCTCTGCAGCGCGGACACTTGTGCTTTATCTGGACTCTTAAAGGTGGAGATTTGGACACGAGTGGAGAGATATCGTGCGCCTGTTAACGTGGAAAAGCAGAGGAGAGAGAGTGAGAAGAAGGGGGGTGGGGGGCTGGAGAAGGGGAGGGGGCCAGGTTTGATTGACACAAACAGCTTTCTCCCAGATATCAGCGATGGTCCCGGTCTCCACCGTGGATCTATTGGCCCCCAGCCCTCTCCACACATGCACTTGGATCCTGGTTCAAACGCGCTCGGGCAGGGGTGGCTTTTCAGAGGCGCGCTGACGAAGCCTGTGGATTGGGGACAATTACTGCCAGTACAATATCTGCAGAAATATTGTGTGAAAGTAATGCGCACACACATCTACCACAAAACACCCACCACAACACGTGCGTATGCTTTAAATGGCAGGGACGTCACTCTCTAGAGTCTAATGCTGCTCCCGTCCGTATATGTGTTTATGTATGTGTTTTTTAATGACATTATGTATACGTTTGATGAAGCTGATATGTGTGTCTGCTGGAATGAATGAACGGATAAACGTGTTTGGGCATTTGAGTATATATTTCTATAATACATAAATCTTGTGCGTGATTTTTAGCTGCATTTTCTGTTTGCATTGACATGTGTTTGCTGGGCATATTTGCCTGATCTTCTCGTATAAATTAATTGAGTATGGACTTTAGGAATAAAACCGTATTTTTAAGGTGTATTTGTCAAACATGTGAGGCACTGTATATACTCATCACGGTTTTTGCTCATTTCAGTTTATATTTTTGTTTTATTCACTATAATAGTATTGTACACATTGTATGAATAATACAGTAATGATAAGCTACTGCAACCAGTATGTGCCATCAGTCCCTCCGAACCTATACAATCATTCACACACACACACACACACACACACCAGTAGAGATTAAGTGTCTTGCCAAAAGACACAACAGCAAATTGCCACTTTGCAGCCGTTCCCAAAGGTCTCCCATCACAGCCCCAGCCAGGCTCTGACTCACAGGCGTTGGACTGGGGGGATACCCAGGGCCCAAGGCAGGGAGTGTGTCTATATATGTATTACGCATTAACGTATGCTGGCCCATCAAGTGTGTTTGTACCCGGGGCCCAAAATTTGGTGCCACCCCCCTGCCCTGACTTGCTTAGTTTCTGAGTTCTGCTGGGATTAGACGTTCACATTTAGTGCCACTATAGTGTAGTACTCACTTTGATAAAAGGCATTAGTCATTTGTTTATGATTAACTTCTATCTTATCCAACTTCCCATTAAAAATAAACATTATTTAAAGAAAATGTTTGCAGTCTTATCTATAATTTTGACATTCTAGAAAAAATAGCTTTAGCCTTTTTCTTTGCCTTTTAGAGCTGAAAAACATCTGAAAATGATGCAAAGACTTTGTCAAAAAAAAGTCCTAAAGTTTGAACATTCAGATCACTTGCATGTGCCCGTTAGTGCTACTTGTGTCTTGTGTCAATCACCTGATACAGCGTGTCAATCATAGGCTGTTTTTAACTCCATTAGTGCTGCCTTTCCCTCTTCTCTCTAGTTCATCAATCCCCTCCAACCTATTTGCACTGACATACACTCCCTCACTCAAGTCTCAGTGGGGCTGCGGAGCCCCTTCATCACGGAGTATGGACCCACAGGATTGACTCTCAGTGTATGTAAGCCATCCATCCTCTTCTGCTTGATCCATTGCCGGGTCACTGCGGCGGCAGTCTGAGCAGGTATGCCCAGACTTCCCTCTTCATGGAGGCTTTCTCCAGCTTCTATAGAGGTACACCAAGGTGTCCCCATTCAGGCCAGCTGAGGGAACAGACCTCAATCGTGTCCTGGTCCTGAGGACTCCCAGGACAGCACTGTATGTATGTTGTGTTACTATTAGATAAGATATTGTGTTAATCACATACCTTAGCATCTCTGTTCATCTATCATTTTACACACTCAAAATATTTTCGTATACATGGCTTAAAACACTAAAATAGCTAGATTCTGTAACAGGCACAAAACTATATGGTAAGCAGAAAGTCCTGTTTAATATTTGATAATAACTGGCCACTGCATTCAATGGGGAAACCCCTCAACTCATTACTTGAATCTTGAGATCTGACTAAGACCTACACAAAGGTCTGCACTCTCAACACAAACTAATGCAGTCTTGAAGGAGGTGCAGGACTCCCCTGTGTAAAAGCATCAGGTATAAAGACTATTCTGTGCCACAGTTCATTATTTTAAAGGACATTGAGTGAATGTTAAATGTGTTGACTTATAAATGATGTTTATGTATCGTGTATAATGTATTTTTTGTATCTTATGTTCCTCCTTTATTTGTGGTGCTAATGACCCTCTGATCAAAGGCACATTCATACATAATTTGTTTTCATTTATGTCATCTCTGTGTCCGCACAATGGCACAACACTTTGTAGAAAAATTGGTGCTCAACCCATTTATAATGAGTGTCACATTTAGGCCATTTCCCATTCAAACTAGATGGATAGTACTTACTTTACCTGATGAATTTTGGCCAAATCCAAAGCTCTTTTATTGGGCTATAATATAATTAAAAAGAACATTATTTGTATGAGGTAATGGTAATTTTGCATGACAACCACGGTGCAATTGAGAGGGCTGTTCCGAGGTACATTTTCACTTTGTGTAAATGAAACGTAGTATGCCGTAAAAACGCATTCCCAGCACAGAGAACTGAACTCTGAGAGAATGGCGACTTGAGCTGGAATGTGTTTGTGTTTGTATGCAAATTAGTGTCAGTGGGTGAGTGGTAATTAGTGTAAAGCGGTTTACCTATTTTCTATTACGCTCCACTCACACACATATAGCCCAGGCTGCTGATGTCAGGCTGAACCGATAACTATCCAGATTCATAGGAAACAATAGGGCAAACACACACATACAGGCAGTTGCTATAGGCACCGGGTGTTAGAAGAGAAGTGCACAATAAGATATAGCAACCCTCACAGCATAAGGCATCACACAAGCGCCCTGTGCAGACATGTGTGCAAGTGTCAGAGCTGCCATGTTCCACTGCAACTCACACAATCGGGAAGTGCCATCAGGAGCG